CATCTCTGGCAGAAACAGAGGATACAACACAGAGACGAAGAAGCCCCTGCACCTGGAAAAAAAAATGGGCTGAACACTTGGAATGAGTGAAGCCTACTAGCTCTCTTACACTGGAGATAAGTGCATCCTGTCTATCCTACCAGAACATAAAATATGAGAGCATCGCTTCCTCCAGCCCCTCCCAGCAACAGAGATGGAGGAATCTGGACACTTCCCCATAACTGCTGGTTAGGGAAGCCTGAACTCTCCCTCCCTCTCCCCTCAGACACAAGTCTTGGGGAGTGGCTAGCTATTCCAACTGAGGCCACCACAGTGCAGCATCTCTGAACCTCCCTGAACTATAAGTGTGGGAAAATGAAAGAGAAGGAGCTCATGTTAGAGAAGAGGATACCAGAGAACTCTTTCTATTATAGGTCAGAGGGGTGAAGACTGGGCACTGCCCCAGACCACCTCCTGATCTTGCAGTGCATGATCTAGCCACCTAACTCTACCAAGACTATGCTCAAGTTGGATTAGCTTCCTTGATTCTTGGGGTTTTAGAAATCACAGTCTCTAGTGAAGGTCAGACAGAGAGGCTTGCCTCTTAGTCTTTCTGGGGCCACACACAGGACTTCAGGGTCACTTCCATCACCAGGTCTTTCAAGCAGGCAACAAAGGATCAACTTGTTGGGTCTGACATGTAGGCTTGCCTACAGTTCTTAGATGAACTTGCCAGAGCCAAACTCAGGTTTGGCGGGCTGCCTTATCTCCAAAAATTATAGATAGGTATGCAGTCCCTGCTTGGATATGAAAGGCATGGCTGGCCACTATCTCTTCTAGGATCACCTTGTCAGGACTACATTTGGACCTATAACCAACTCAGAAGTTATAGGTGGGTAGACAAGCTCTGATTGGATCAGAAAGCCATGGCAGGCATCCCACCCCTCCTGGGCCACCACTGCCAGGGCCATGTCCGGGTCCTGGGGACCAAACTGCCCCCAGAAAGGACAGTCAGGTCCAACACACACACACACACACACACACACACACACACACACACACACACAAATACTTAGAAATAAATCCAACCAAAGAGGTAAAAAACCTTTACAAAGAAAACTATGAAAAACTGAAGAAAGAATCTAAAATTGATTTTTAAAAAAAGGAACAATATCCCATGTTCTTCGATTGGAAGAACCAATATAATTAAACTGTCAATTATACCCAAATTAATTTATAAATTCAGTGTAATGTCTATCGAATTAACTGTGACACTCCTCACATAATAGGAAAAATCAATCATATACCTTGTCTAGAATCATAAAAGATCCTATATTACCAAAGCAATACTCGTGTAAAAAATAAAAATTAGAGGCATCTTACTACCTGGCTTTAAACTATATAACAAAGCTGTGATAATCAAAACAGCATAGTACTGGTACAAAAACAGAGACACAGACGAATGGAACACAATGGAAAACCAGAAATAAGCCCCAAAACACACAGCCAATTGATTTTGACAAAAGACACAAGACAATTTAGTGCAGAAAAGAAAGTATTTTCAGGAAATGAAAAACTGCAGAAAAATGAAACTAGACCCCTAACTCTCACCATTAACAAAAGTCAACTCAAAGTGAATCAAAGATCTAAATGTAAATCGTCAAATTATAAAGCTACTTTTGGAAAATACAGGAGAAACACTTGAAGACATTGGAGTAGGCAAAGACTTCTTAAATAAGATCCTAAATCATGGGCAACAATTCCAAAAATAGACAAGTGAGATTACATCAAGCTAAAAAGCTTCTTCATGGCAAAGGAAACAAGAGTAACAAGACAGTCTACAGGATGGGAGAAAATATTTGAAAACTATGTGTAAACTAAGGGATTAAAAACCAGATTACATAGGGAACTCAAGCAGCTCAACTACAGAACCATTTATATCCAATTTAAAAATGGGCAACTGATCTGAACAGACAGTTCTTAAGGGAAATACACAAGTGGCTGAAAACATCTGAAAAAATGTTCAACATCTCTTATCATAAAGAAAATGCAAATCCTAACAAAAACAAGGTACTGCCTAACTCTAGTCAAGATAGCTATGATTAAAAAAATAATAATAAAAAAAAGAAAAGAAAGAACAAGTGTTGTGAGGCTGTGCTGAAAAGGAAACAAACCTGCACTGTTGGTGGGAATGTAAATTAGTACAACCACTGTGGAAAAATACATGCAGGTCCCTCAAAATTTTGCAAATAGAACTACCCTATGATCCACTAATCCCACTCCTGAGTATTTACCCGAAGGACAGGAAATCATTTAGTTGGAAAGACATTTGTACATCCATGTTTATTATAGCATTATTACAATTGCTAAGACATGGAATCAACCTAAATGTCCAACAATAAATGACTGGAATTAAAAAAAATGTGGCACATATACACAACAGAATGCCACAGAGCCATAAAAACCAATGAAATCCTATTATTTGATACAAAGTAGTTGAATCTAGAAGATGTAATGCTAAGTGATTAAAGCCACACTATGAAACATAAACACTGTATGCCCTTGCTCAACATATACTGAATTCCTGCACTCTGCAGCAGAAATTGAAAGATTTGTAGACACAGAAGAGAGAGAAAAACTTAGATACAAGAGACTGCATATGGTGTGGCGGGGAGGAGGATTAGGAGGAGATTTGGAAAAAAAGCATTTTAAAGTCACAGGAATAAAGGGAGATGGGGCAAATGGGTTGTGGAATAGCATATCACAACTGAATGAGAAAATCAGACATTTACAATTGTGTAAATGTCTCAAATGTGGTGTTCTTTGTTAAAAATGATGAATATATAAAGTAGTATCCTTGATTTAATCGTCACATACTGCATGGATGCTTTGAAAATCCATACTGTGCCCCACAAAGCTGTGCACCAATGAAATGTAAATAATAAATCATAAAATTAAAAAAATAAATTAAGCTGGAAATTGCAGGTTACTTATGGGATCAGGAAATCATTCAGGGCCCTAGTCTTAGAAATTATGAAATCTTGGCTCATTCCTTTTCTATTTTTTCCTCAGGTTGCAGGAATGATTTAAATCATGGTATCTTTCCTTTTTAGATCAGTAGAGTACAAAGTTGGAGCTTACAAATATCTTGCTTTTTCAAATTTTTAGACAGACTTCTTCCTATTTCCTCTCTCTAAACATTTTCTTCTCTTAAGGCTTTCAAGAAAAATAAGAGCGCATAGATTTTAAACATGGAAATTCGGAAAAATGATCTGTCTGTGGAAATCAGACTTTACCTGTTCTGGGGATCAGAGAGAAATGATGATACTTATGATTCTATCAGAATCATTATGAAGAAAAAGGCAAGATTAACTTTCAGCAAGCTGGGAGACTGTGGGGAGAGAAAGCAAGTTGAACACCCTCAATTTGTAGTAGAGTCGGAAAGGAAGGAGCAGCTAGTCCTTTCTCAGAAACACACATCAGAAAGGAGGCCAAGCTTAAGGCATAATCTGGGAAACTAATGGGTATTTGGAAATTGCATGTGTAAACCAAATATATTAAACTTTACCGATTGTACAGAGTAGAAATGGTATTAATATCTTAGCAGTTACCATTTTATAATTCAACTTGAAAGGTATAAAAGATCAACAATACCTAAACAATTATGCATTAGTTTTAGTTCCAAATACATGGAGTGGTTGCAGGATCAGTAGAGCTCTTCTGTGAATGTTAATCCCATTATTTCTCATGATTTCATGTGGGTTAGGTTCTATGACTTTATCATTTAATTAGCACCACACTCTACAATCAGCCTAGAGGGTATAACAAAAAAACTGTGCCAGGATGCACTTTTCTGAGTTCCAAAATGTACAGACAAAATAGAAATGTAAATGCAGGTGCCAAAGGAAAGCCTAAAGGAATAAAACAAATTTTAAAAGTATGAGAAATAATCCAAAAATTGAGTATACTATTTAACTACATTAAAACAAATTTTTCTTAATTGCTAATCTTTAAAATTTTAATATTAAATATAAAATTTACATAATGCTGTGGCTATTCTTTTAGCATAGTTACTGAAATTATGATAACTGAAATACATACTATAGCCAAGTACTTTTTATGATTTTGCTGATGACTAGTCTTCTCTGCAGTTCCACACATTAAATTATCAAACATGTTCAATCAGATGGATTTAATATAAGTAGAAAGTGAAGTCAATTTGCAAGTGAGGTAAATATTGATCATTAATAAAATTCGAATACAGTTTACCATTGTCCTTTTTTTTCTTAAAACTAGTATTTTCAAATTATCCTCACAACTGGAAATGTTGAACTGTCTGAAAAACTTACTGTATAGAAAAGAATAAGAAATAAGATGTTTACAAGTAAGTAGGATGTACTATAGTCGGTATCATCTTATGAATCGTTCAACTGGGAACTAGTAGTTAGTATGTATTTCACACAAATATCTTTGGAGAAAAAAATGGAAATCTAACTTCTTCCCTCTATGTTATATTCTATAATATTTTAAATATACTAAGGAGACACTGTAATTGTTAAAAGTCTTCTTTTGTCTGGTAGTAATAGTGAAAGGATAACGAATAAGATTTTACTTCTATAACGATAAAGTAAAGTAACCTAAGAGAAATGAAGCATCATGGCCTTCTTTCACTATTCTAAAACATTCATTCTAAATAATAATGCTAATGGACAAAATGACATTCATTTTCCAAAGGGTATAAAGGTATTTTTATGAAGATTTACATTATCAATACTATAAGCTATTTTTAAGTTAAAAGCACTAATATAAAGAAGTACCTTTAAAATCGACACACTATCTTATTTTCCTATTATCTTGGCAAAAATTAACAAGTTTATTTTATTAATTAGAAAACATAAAATTAATGATCTTGCAGGATGGTAGTTTTGGCAAAAGGGAGGTTACAAGAGCTTTCTACAATGGCATTTTGTGTCACTGTAACAAGTATTTTGTAGTTCAAATGCAGAAATAGATTGCCTTACCGTTGGCGCTGTATCTGTCTGATGGTTATAAGGCTTTTTTTCTAAGCTGATACTCCCTGTGGAAATAAAAAATTGTTAATATTTAGTTATTATACCTATACATTTTATTTTGAAATCAGTTATGTCAGTAAGATACAACTCATACAGCTTACAAGATAAAAGCCTCACTCGGGTGACAGGATCCTTTAATGTTGTTGTATCATGAATTCTTTGGTCAGAGACGGTTGGTGAGTTTAGCCAAAGAAGACATCTGACTCCAGGTTAGCTAAGTCAACTTTCCATTCAAACGGTGTCTAGCAAAAGCACAAGATGTGTCCACATCCTGCTCTCGGCTCAAAAATTATACCATTATCTGGGCTCTGCTGTATTTCTTCCATGAAAGTTTTATTTCTGACTTGAGGTCATCAAGTTTTTATAAAGAAATAACACAAAGGCTATGAAAAAAATCACTGCTGACTTATTTTCCCAAAAGAATAAATAAATCTATTTGAATTTCTTTTTCATTATCTGACTTCCTGCTATGTCATATTCTGCTATTTATTCTATCACCACAGAGTGTCTAAAAAAATAAAAGGTACCCTGATTCTCTCCTTTAAAATAAACCATTGACAGCTAATCTTGAGGAATATCCTTTTATCATCTGTGGATTTATCCTTTTGTTCTCAGTGTCCTCTCTGTGTTTCTTTGTAATAAACAGCCTTTAAGGATACAACACATTGCAACTCATCTAAAGATACCAGTTCAAAGTCTAGCTCAAGGTAAAAATGAACACAGGTGTGAGTATCATTTACTTTTCAATCTCTGTCTATCAGCACACTTATATGTGAGTTATGATGTTAGAATAGTTTGTTCAAATAATGCTAAACTTTTCATATCACAACTGGTTACAAGTGAGAACATCTACTGTTAACATTTTGTAGAATTCTTAGTTGAAACAAAGTTACTTTCTTTTACAAGCATTTAACTCATTTTTATTTAACTATGATAAGGAATGAAATGAGATCAACACAAAATAATTGCTTTTTGTCATGTTGCAAGAGTATATTAAAAAAAGAACAGAACATAATGAAATGATAGAAAATATAGTTATGTCTCATTTAAAAATTATTTCAAGATCTATTGTTAGCCAATAAATCATAAAGTACTATACTACTTTTTTTCAATTTGTATTTATTGAGTAGCTACCTGACACCTAGCAATATAAAATGAATACATTGTTGCTTCTGATCTGAAGACTCTAATAATAAACAAAGGTGTCCTTTTTTGAAACAATGCTGGAACAAAGCAAGAGAGGGCTTTTTTGTTTGTTTTTTTTTAGCATAATAAAGTCCATTAAGGTCATTTTGATGGCAGATAATCTTAGAGTAACACTAGTTTTGAGTTAAAAAACAAATAAAAACAAACCATGATGAGTAAAACATATTTAAAAACATTCAAATAATACAAGCTCTTGCAAGATTTTTACAAAAAATAGAACAAATCATAAAAATCCCCATTTCCTCAGTCCCCACAATACCATAATCCTCCCTACGTGCAACCTCTGAGAGCTGTTTGGTATTGCACACTGGTTTTCAAATGAGGTGGCCATGTCATGGAAGTTAGGAATTGGCAACATTTTACCTGTGTGTCCTACTGTGATCTAACTACCATAAAATTGACCTGAGATGATTACTTATTTTAAAATACTTATTCAACTAAAAAGTAGTTTTAATTAGGAAGAAAAAAAAGGGTAACTTAAAACTGATAAAAAAATATTTTAAAAACCTCAAACTCCTGGTGGTTAAGGTGCTAGACTCTCACATGGCTAAATGTGATTCAAGTCCCAGATTTGGCAGCTTAAAAATCATGCAAGGCACATGTGTGTGTGCATGCCCAAAATCCTGAGAGGAAAATGGAGAAAAAGGGATTGGACAAGGCCACTCCTCCTCCAGGTGATTTCTCACTTTCCCTTTCTCCATACCTCCCTGGCAAGTGCATGCACCCTATGGCAAAAACCTAAAACAAACAAACAAACAAATACCCAAGACCTTAAAAATCTAAATTCTCAGTTTATATAATTATAAGGAAAACAACCATATATTTTATAGTTTCAATTTCAGTATAAGAATATGCTGTAACAACTACCCATATTTATCATCTTAATTTTAAATATAGTTTGCATATAAAAATAATGTCATTTGGAAATACAACATATTTGTTCAGACTTTTAGTAAAAAACATATAGAAAGGAGTAAGCTTAAGGAAGTATCCCAAAACAGCTTCCTACTTTAAGTAAATTTTACTTAAAACATCTGCATTTTTCTCATTTCATTTTTATTAAGGTATAAATGATAAGTGAAAACTTGTAACAAGTAGTTTGCTATAATAGTTAATATTATGCATCAATGTGGCTAAGCCATGATACCCAGATATTTGATTAAATACTCTCTGAATATTTAAGACTTTTTTAAAAAATGGAATTAATATGTAAATCAGTAAACTCTGAGTAAAGCAGACTGCCTTCCAAAATGTGAGTCTTATACAATCAGGTGAAGGCCTTAAGAAATGACAGACCTTCCATGGTTTGAATCTCAGACATGGCGGCTTGAAAATTATGCCAGGTGTGTGGGGGTGTCCAAAATCTCAAGAGAAGAATAAAGGAGAGGGGACTGTGGTGAGGTCACCTCCCCCTACCCTGGGGGGGTTGATTTCTCACTTTATCTCTCTCTGGCAAGTGCATGTGCCCTATGACAAAAACTTTAAAAAAAATTTTTTATAAGCTTTTAAGTTTGCTAAATATACAATTTACAGTTCCAGAAACAAAAATATACTTGTATATGTCACAAAAAAGTGTGAAATAACAGTCAGGTTACATTGTAAACTTGTGTACCTTTTATTCTGATTTCTTGTTATGGTATAAAGTTCAGGCATTTATGGGGAGTAAGAGACTTTTTCCATTCCCTCTAGAGGAGAGTGAAGAGTTAGTCTGCTGAGCCAAGGTAGTGCTGAGAGTGCTCAGATAGTTGTATACAATGAATTACAGTATAATGCAAAAATGCAGAAAAATAATTCCAGCTATAAGTTACTAGTTTGATTATTCTGAAGCTCAACCTTTTGGTTTGCTATAATGTTCAAACCTCTAAGTAGGTGTTTGTTTCTCTAGAATATATTCTTGTTGACTTTCCTATAAAGCAGGACATTGTGTTATATAGCTCCTGCCTGCCCTGAGTTGTGTTCTAGATTTTCTTGTTGTCTCTATGCTCCTTGGGTTACTTACTGGTTTATGCTGGCTGTGGAAAGCTATCAATAACAATTTTACACTATACCAAAGAATTAAATCTGATCCTCAATATCTGATATTTTGCCAGTGCTTCTACTGGAAGGCAGTCACAGAATTTGAAAATAAACTCTAGTCTCTCCCTAGCTATTTGCTATCACAGAGGCAAAGGACTTGTAAAACGTTTCCAAGTACAGATACTTACATTTGATCTCAGAACAATACATTTTAGACTGGTTTAGGGTACTGAACACAAGTTTGCTGTCTTTAGAACAGTTTGTAAAAATATGATATAAAGATGCTTTCATTTTCCTATTTTAAATATAGATTATACAAAGCTATTAATAATGCCAGTTTTGGTAAACCTTAAAAATTACCCCAAATATTGACATTAAGTGCATCATATAACAAGTGTCTTTGTTTGGTATATTATACTTTTGTTCTCATAAAAAAAAAAAAAAAGAAATGACTGACCTTCCCTGAGAGAGGGAAGTCTGCCAACAGACTGCCTTCTCTTCTAAATGCAACTCTTCTCCAGCCTGCTGGCCTACCCTACAGATTTTGGACTTGCTAGCTTCCAGAATGGTATGAAGCAATTCTTTAAAGTAAACTCCTCTCTTTCTCTCTCTCTCTCTCTCTCTCTCTCTATATATATATATATATATGTGTGTGTGTGTGTGTGTGTGTGTGTGTGTGTTATATATAATATATACATTATGTATAATATATATACACAAGGGGAATTCAAAAATTTGTGGAAAAAATGAAATTAAAAGATAAAAATTTAAAAATTAGAATTTTATTTCACTATTGTAAGTGATACCCCCAGCCACTGTTCCATCCCTTAAGAACTGAGAGTGATATAATTATTAAATTATAATGATAATTTAATAATTTAACAATAATAATTTAAATGATAATTTAATTTTAATGTTGATGTAGTGTTATTTACATTATTAACTACTAGGGGAAATGAGTGCCCTTTAAAGATTCTTTTAAGATTAGGAAACAGAGGCAGAAGACCCCCAGCCACTGTTCCATCCCTTAAGAACTGAGAGTGATATAATTATTAAATTATAATGATAATTTAATAATTTAACAATAATAATTTAAATGATAATTTAATTTTAATGTTGATGTAGTGTTATTTACATTATTAACTACTAGGGGAAATGAGTGCCCTTTAAAGATTCTTTTAAGATTAGGAAACAGAGGCAGAAGGAGCCAAAATAAGACTTGAAGGTGGATGCCTAATGATTTTTCATTGAAACTCATGTGAAATTGTCCTTGCTCTAATGAAGGAGCAATTGTGGTGGAGGAAGACTCTAGTGACAGCTTTGGCTAAATTTCTCCAAAGTCCTCTCATAACATGCAGATATTATTGTTCTCTGGTCCTCCAGAAAGTCAAGATCAAAATGCACTGAGTATCCCAGAAATCTGCTGCCATAATCTTTGGTCTTGATTTTTACTTTTACTAGACTATTTCCTCTTCCTGGTAGCCTTTGCTTTGACTGTGCTTTGTCTTTTTTATTTTTTTATTTTTTTATTTTTTTAAGAGAGAGTTTTGCTATAGGGTGCCGTGCTCACTGGAGAGACAGAGACCGACAGACAGAAAGCAAGAATTCATTCCTGATGGAGGCTGGCCATGCTACAATCTCTTCTCCTCTTAGAATTTTGGGCATGCACACACACACGTGTCAGGAGTGGGTTTCAAACCACAGGGTCTGGGTCCAGGTCCGAGACTAGAACTGTGGTCAGCCACATGGGAGTCCAGTGTCTTAACCATTATGCCATCTGCTG